AAATTCGAATCATGGATTGAAAATCCAGAAAACTGCTCGCAATGCATCATGTTTCTCAACCTCGAGCTGACGTACACAGACTTTGTGTCGCATAAGAAAGGAGGAAGAGGTCTCAGGCAAATTGAAGTCGCCTGGCCCAATGAAATAGTCGGGATGGTAAAGAATGTGGTCGGTCAAGATGACCCACTAATGACGCAGGTCATTAAATTCCATCGAAAAATTTGGCATTGACAATGGCATTGTTAGTGTAGCAAAAAGCCTTGCGAAGAAAACTAAGCAAGACTCTCTGAATAACAAAGGCACTGGACTTCTGATTCTACTAAACATAAAATGTGAGATACAGAAAATGTTAAAGGAATTGTGGAGGGACAAACCACTCCATCGATAGTGTCTAAAAAGAACGGACAGTGGGCAGATCAATAAAGATCAAACATTTATGTGGCTTAAAAGTGAAAGAATGACTCCAGAATCGGAAGCAGTTTTAATCTCTGCGCAAGATCATGCGTTGAAGACATATTATCATCAACCGGTTCTTCAAATTTTCCAAGATGATAAATGCTGTATTTGCCAGGAACAAGTAGAAACCATTGATTATATCGTCTCAGCTTGTCCAATTCTAACGAAGACCGAATACTTGAAAAGACACGACATAGCGTTAAGTGACCTCCACTGGCAGATCTGTACCGCCCTCGAAGTTTCAAACATATGCCCCAAGTGATACAACCACGATAATCGGTGACCTCTGTTGAATTCTATAGAATATTGACCGTCCAACAAAATGAAACGGATCGTATGTTAAAGGAAAACAAATCAGATATTGTATCCTGTATTTGGAGAAAAAATCGTGTTTACTTGCTGTGCCTTGCTATCGAAACCTAACCAAGGAGATAGAGAAACGTCTTAAATTCAGGAGTTTGGAAATGGAGATCAGCCGAATGTGGGTCGCAAAAGCACAGGTCGTACCTATAGTTATCGAGGCTTTGAGATTTGTTCTGCAAAATGTCTTTGAGGATTTGGCTACACTCACAGATTATTCAAAAGACTGGGTAGTGCAAGAAATTGCTTTATTTGAACAGTCCACATTTTGCTCAAGTATTGTAGAGACACCGACAGTTACTAGGTCTTCTCCTTTGTTAACTGGTTGCAACCTGGAAGGCATTTTACATTCATCCGCCTCATAAAATCTATAGTCGTGATGTGGAATAATAATAATAATAATAATAATAATAATAATAATAATAATAATAATAATAATTGCATTTAGAGCTATTTTTCGTGATTAAGATTATAATATCATATCTGACCAATCTATATATTATCTGACCATTTTGAAGTAGGTACTGTGAATTGAAATTAGCATTTTATTTTTACAGGTGTGTACTCTTCGCAGCTCGGCTGAATTTTGGAGATAATTGGAGACATCACGGTAAGTGATGAATATTACAAACATGCTTAATATTTCCTGGTACGTGCAACTACAACATAGTGGAAAATCAAGGTTGCATTGAACTGACTAAAGAACTAATTTATACGGGAAATTAAATTAATATTCTTGAAACGAGAGATATATTGTATGAAAGCACATTAACATAATTTTGTTATATAAATGTAAAAATGTAATTTAAATCTTTATAAAAATAATTACATCATGATACATTTTAAATTGACAGTATTTTCTTACCTGAATTTGTAAAATATCATTATATTTTCTTCTTCTCAGTTTTTGTCTGATACGGACGAAGCTTGTAATGCTTATAACACTCTGTCACTTGTAATACTTCAGTGTTTTTTTGAAGTTTTTAATACTTTAATGTTATAGTTTTACCTAGCGATTTCTTGACCATCAATGTTAGTGACCAGTGTAAATTTTCGCTGGGTTCAAAAAAACATCAAATTTTTTGAACATGGATAACGTTTTTGGCATTTACTCTGCCTATATGTGTGTAATAAAACGCATATTATATATTCGCCCTTGTTATAATTCTTATGATGTGCCGTTTAAAAACAAAATTATCGTACATGTTTACACTCACATAACTTTTAGGAATTTTATAGAGAGAGATAAAAAACTTGCTTTCATTTAATGAAGGTTCAGAGAGCTTTTTCTTTCGCGTCGTTCAAGAAGTGTGCACAATTTTATCAGCAGACGAGGATCTTTTTCGCTTTTCTTCAGAGCCATTTCGCCCGTGCGCTCGCACAACGCTGGATGACCGCGGCCAGCAAAAGAAGCCTGTTCGCTTCGCACTATAGTCGGGTCAAATAACGCGAATACAGTCTTTCCTGCAATGCGTCTTAACTGAACGTTTGAATAAAACATTCTCAATACAGCAAGACGGTTGGAGATTTGATAGATAATAAAATACAAACTTGAAACTTCACAGTAATAAATATATTTTGTTTTCTAACAAATGACTGTATCTCATCAATTGTAAGATGTTACCACTTCTTACCACAAGTAATGAACTCATTTTTCTACTTGAAAAAAAACAACAACTGGGTGTTGACGTATGAACAATTAACCTGAACCATTCTAATTGACACGTAATAATTTAATTATAAATCAAAATATAAAAATTATTCATATTGCAGGCCTGAGAAGTCCAACGTCAATCATTATATCGTACTTTTTTTGAACGTAAATTCTTTATATATTCATTTACAGTTGTTCAAAAATACATATGCCACGAAACAAAACGTAACTTTTATATTTAACATGCACAGTAAAAATACCGTTTTTGTACAATATATAAAAAGCAATGGAAACAAAATTTAATTTAAATGTTATATTGCTGGATAGTTAAATTAACTCCTAGGGGTAGTTTCTACAAGTTTAAATCGAAAAAAGTAATGTTGTATCATGTACCACTAATAGTTAGGCAGGCGCA